CACTTTCACACTTAATTTGGGGTGGCCAGGTAAGCCCCCAGAGTGCTCCAAGTGCCTCCAACACACCCTTGTTCCTATTACAGGTGTTATCCATAAGATAGACCCAAAACACCATACTCCTATGGATTCTTTGCCAACATAGGGTTACCCCCATATGTTCCAGTGTACAACTGTCCAAGCAGAGTTTCCGGTTTACTCTCTTTAAGCAAACAAATGAAGAGGAGCTATGGGGTGGGATTTTCTCACCAAATAGTGGTTTCTTTTTTTATTTTTAAAAATCATTTTATTGAAAGCAATTACAGATAATATAACATTCCACATTTCAATCGCATCAAGCAGTATTGCGCAATTGCTACCACAATCAGTTTCAAAACGGTTTCTTCTTGAATTCCTTGATATCAGCTCCGCTTCATCCCCCACTATATCCCCAGGAACCCTTTTTTAAATTAAATACTTTTAGTGGGGGCTCTTACATCACTTATCACAATCCATACATTCATCCATTCTGTCAAGCACATTTGCACATATGCCGCCATTTTCCCACTTGAGCACCTGATATCAGTTCCCCATTTCTAACCCCCTCCCTCCCCTGCCTGCGCTCCCTCACAAACCTTTGATAAGTTATAGATTATTATTTTCATATCTTACATTGTCCTCCACGCTCCTCATCCACTTTTCCATTGTTCTTCCGCCTGGAAGGGGGGTTCTAGTTTGATCCTTGTGATCAATTCCCCCTTTCTCCCTCCCACCATCCCCTAATCCTCCTATTATCTCTACTCTCATTGTTGGTCCTGAGGGGTTTACCTTTCCAGGATTCCCTGTGTTCTGGGCTCTTATCTGTAGTAGTGTGCATGCTCTGGTCTTATCCAGTTTGTAAAGTAGAATTGTGGTCATGATAGTGGATGGGAAGGAAGCACCAAAGAACTAGAGGAATTTTGTGTGTTTCATCAGTCTATTACTGCACCCTGGCTGGTTCATCTCTTCCCTGTGACCCCTATGTGGGGGGATGTCCAATTGTCTACAGATGGGCATTGGGTCTCCAGTCTATTCCACCCACCCTCCCAATTCATATTGGGTGTGATTTTGTTCTGGGTCTTAGATACCCAACACCCGATTCTATTGACACCTCATGATCACACAGGCTGGTGTGCTTCTTCCATGTGGGCTTTGTTGCTTCTGAGCTAGATGGCTGCTTGTTTATCTTCAAGCCTTTAAGACCCCAGATGCTATATATTTTGATAGCTGAACACCATCAGCTTTCTTCACCACATTTGCTATGCACCCAATTTTTCCAGTGATCATGTTGGGAAGGTGAGCCTATAAAATTTTTTTGTTTGCTTTTTCTTTTTCAATAGCTGAATGTAAACTGTTTGCGCCACTCAGGGGAGAAATACCAGGGTACCTCAAAGTTCATAGAAAACTTCCAGTCTATTTTAATTTATTCTTGAACAAACTATTTGATGCTTCTTCATATATATGTTTACCAGTATGACCACATGTATACGTGCATGTGTGTCTTTATATATTTTGTCATCAATTTCTAGAAAATTTCTATTAGAAGTCTAACTTATCAGGCACCTGGGTTTTGTTCCCATTTTTAGATACATAAGTAGGTGTTCTTAGATTAGGTTTTAGCTTATCCAGGAAGTTGGCTCATGGATTGAAGCGGGATGGGTGTCTGAATTTTTGGTGAACTCTTTTCACAGTGGCTTTTGTGCACACATGAACTACCTAATCCAGGCAGAATCCAGGAGCCAGGCCCCTGATGGCATAGGCCGTGTCTTCTAATATGACACTTATTATCAAAGGTCTTTTCACTCACACCATATCCTGAGACAATACACTTCCTCAAAGGATGTTACTAGAGAAATACAGACAGACAGGCAAAGATTGTGAGATACAGAGAGAAGGAGGGGCAATACTGGAAGGACTGACAGAAGTGAAAAATCAAAGGAAGAAATGACAATATGAAAATGTAGTGTTAAATGGTAAATGTAATATTTAAGGAGAAGCCCAGAATAAATACCTTTCCACCCATCCATCACCATGATTGGGAAAACTCAAAGGTGGGTGGAACAGAAATTAAAAGAATATTTTTTAAAACTCACTACCATCGAGTCGATGCCACCTCATCACAACTCTTCTGTACCGGGACGAACTGCCCCTGTAACTTTCTGTGGGAGCATAAAGTTCCATTTTCCATGGAGCAGCTGGTGGTTTCGAACTGGTGGCCTTGTGCTTAGCGGCTCAAGTCGTAACCACTACACCACAAGGACTCCTTCAGAAGTATATAGCCTTTTCGCTCCACAGGACCTATATAGTGTGAAACCAGCTCTGTTTGGGGCACTGAAACAGGTCTGACGTGAAGGTGAGTGAATTGCTGTTCTTCAGGTTCCTCAAGCAAAACCACTGACACTTGTATGTGTTGTCTATAGAACGCGGTTTATTTCAAGAAATGGCTCACATAGTTGTAGAAATAGGTTAAGTTCAGTCCAATTCAAGTCAGAATTATCCTGACTCTTGGAAGCCAGTGAACAGAAAGCAGGATGGTGAAGCAGAGACAGCAGAGGGCACAGACTGGTGGGTGAAGAGGCTTAAAGTTGGCCAAATGAATCCACTTCCAGTCGTCTGCTGACAACTCCAGAAATAGGAAGGTGACACACCAGGAGGTCAAAGAACTAGACTCACAATCAAGCTCCAGCAGAAAATGAAGGGACAAAGAGGATTTGACACTGACTGGTTGGTTTCTCTTAAACAAAAATACTTATGACACCAAGGAGGTGTCATCAGGTTGCAACACAATTCATAGGTTGACCTCCGTCCCAGCCCTTTCCCAAGAGTGCCTAGTTGACATAAGCCTTAAAAATCACAGTCACCTATAAAACAGATCGGATAGTCCTTGCCCTGTCTAGCTTGCAGATGTTGGGTAGCACTAGAAGGATAATAAATTCAAAAAGTCCTCCATAAACTCATCACTCTCCCATTTGCTTCCTTTTACTTTGTAAAGAAGCCTTCAGCAACACCTGCATTATAGTTTAGCTGGTGGTGTGATGGTTACTTGATGGGTTGCAATCTGCAAGACTGGCAATTCTCAACCACCAGCAACTCCTTGGGAGAAAGACTGGGCTTTCTACTCTTGCAATCAGTTACAGTCTGGGAAACCCATGAGGGGTTGCTATGAGTCAGCATTGACTCGATGACAATGAGGTGTTTTTTTTTTTCCTTAGCATCGCAGTCATCTCTGTCCAACACACTCTAGCTCCTTCCATGCATATAGGTGGCTGTGATTCTCATTTATGAGTTCCATGGTTTGGGGCGGGGGGGTGGCTCTTCACTGGCAAAAAAATCTAAAGAGATAAATAATTGTTTCTGGAAAAATAATTCCTCTCTGTTCCAAAAATTCATATTTGCTGGTTCAAATGGATGGGAAGGATTTTTTGGCAGCACTCTGCAATATTCCACAGAGCGGTACTGATTCCTTTAGGGTTGCCGAAGTTTGCTGTGGACAGGAATAGAATCTCAGAGAGTGAAACCATTTGGTACACATGCTGACTTATTCTCAGAGGGCACTGCTATGAAAAGTTAATGTTAGATTTCTTTCTACTGCGATCATCTTTATATTGATCTACTGTGAGCTAGTGGCCTGGGACACAGGGTCCAAGGATGAATTCCATTCCCTACATGGCACTGGAAGCCCACACAACAGATGGATAACCTTCTTGGTCAAGATCAGTGGGAAGACGGTTCCCACCTTCCAGACCAACTCCTGGCTGCCAACCAAACTCAGGGGTAGGGATGAAAGCTTGGCAGATGCAGGATGAGTGCCTCCTAATATCAAAAATATCCTGAGCTCAGCTTGGTGGGATAGTGGAATTCCCTGCCCTGTATTCACACACTAATGGGTGATATCTGGAATTTGTCCCATACCTTAATTAGTAAGTGCCTTGGGAAGACCCTTGAAGCCTTCTTCCTTACATTTCAGCAGGCATGGAGGGAAGCCAGCATGGTTGGGCTTCTGATTTGTGCTCCAGGATTCCTACGGAGGCCATTTTGATGGGTTGGGATCCTATCATACATTTACTCTAGCCTTTTTTTAAAGCCTTGTCTGGAGTTTTGGGCTCAGTCTCCCTACCTATTTGCCAATTGGTGTCCAATTCGGTAAACCCTGTGGACCCAAAGTGCTGTCATTGCCTTTTGGATTAGTATTACCACCACCTCTGTGGCTTTCCTAACCAGATTGCCACCTGAAATAGCCAGTTTGCGTTTAGCCTGTTGTTTTGATCTTTGTGTCACTTGGCCTGCCACTCACCTCCTTTAAGGACAACTTTATGATCCTCCAAAGTCTGATTCTGTGTGGACTAGCCTCACTCACCCTTCTTGTTCTCCTGGCTTTGAGTCTTGGGAGCTCCCACGTGATCTATAATGGTTTTGCTGCAAAATACGGGACTTAGTCCACCTTATTCTATAGTCCACTGCCAGTTATATGAGAAGCTGGGACATTGCACAGTGCAATCGGGATGAACCCACACTTCCTGCTTCTTGTCTCTGGGAAGCTTCAACCACAGGAGCCACGGGGGATTTGCCAGCCTTTTGTAAGAGAAAATACGGTGTGATACCAAACAGCCAACTGCCCAGCTCTATTAGCAAAGCCTGGCTGCTCTAACTTTTTGACAGTTTTCTTTTTCCTCAGTAGTCCACTGTGAAATAGAGTCTCCAGGGTGACTTGTCATTGGGAGGAATTCAGAGCTTCTGTATGCCATTGATAATTGAGTAAGGAGAAGCCAACAAAAGGATTACCACTGTTTTCCCAAAAAGCCAATAGGGAACCTTATGAATGTTCCAAATAGCTTCTACCTTCCTTACAGTACATTGTGGCCATTAAAGAGACTCTGCCATGTATATATCTTTTAAATTATTTTATTTTGTTGTTACTGCTGTTGATATACACAGAAAAGCAAACACTAACTCACCAATTTCCTTTTCTTTTCTTTTTTTTTACTGCAGGTGAGAGTCTGAACGCAGTCCCCAACTACCACAAACTGTGCAGTTGAGTTTCCCACATTTGGAGAAATCCCAGGGGTCAGCCCATCTGGAGTGCAGTGGATAATTCTTGCCCTGGGAAAACCACCTTTGTAATCATGGTATTTCCCCTGCCAGGTAATTATAACCCACCAGTTTCTTCATGTGCCATTTAATGCATTGATGACATTTTTGAGTTATGCAACCATTGCTCCTCCCTCATAAAGGTAAATTCACTTATCCCCCAAAAGTTCCTATCAAATATTTCAAGTTGTTGTTCTTAAGTTGGTCCCTTATAGATTGATCTTGAAAGAGCACAATGATTGAATATAAAATGTTTTACTAGTCGCTATTGTTAAGTTTTTAACTGATGAACTACTGCTTTCTATATGGTTTAAAGATTATCTTAGGGCAATAGTTTGAGGGTTTATCCAGTCCAGGAGAACTTTAAATTCTGTTTGACACTTCACCTCTTGTGATAACTTTTTGTTTTAGTGTTGAAAGAATTCCATGCAATCCTCAAGCTTCCAGGCCACACCAAAGTAGTACTTTGATAGATGGCTTTTCTCTTTCTCTTTAAACCTGCTATTTGAAATCATCTCAGTTAAATTCTTTGCCTTTTGTTGGAAGAGGCAGGTACTGTTTAGCTCCTTTCTACATGGAATATGTAAACCTTGACATTGGTCATTTGGAGCAATGACTGCATAACACAAATGAAATGTAAACTTGATTGTGTCAAGCCAATTTGCATGTGTGTTGTAAAAATACGTATAACAAAATAACTTACATTCCAACATATTTGACATGTGCAATTCATTTTTTAAGTTTTATTACTCCCTACAGCAGCCTCATAACCCCTAACTCCCCCTTTTTCCCTTCCCATTCATCCCTAGTAACCACTAATAAACCTTTGTCCTAATGCATTTGTGTATTCTAAATATTTCCTATATGTGGGACCATATAACATTGTCCTTTTGCATCTGACTTATTTCACTCAGCATCGTGTGTGGAGGTTCATCCATGTCACAACATATATCATCACTTCATCTTTCTTAGTGGCTGAGTATTATTCTATTTATTGTATGGATGTACTACAGTTTATTCAGTCTTCTGTTGAGGAAAAGTTTTTCCACCTTTTTAGCCAATGGGGTTTTAAAGTTATTCTGTCAGGTAATGTGGTTGCCAAGCCACAGCTGAAGGCATCTCAAATTATAGACGACACTGTCTTCCCAGACCTCTTGGTGTCAATTCCCAGCAATATTGTTTATTTATTGATGTGTGTGACCTTTCTGTGCCTCAATTTTCTCATCAGCTCTTCTCACTCGCTAAGGTCAGGGTGAATTTTAAGTAAATTAATATACACAAAACACTTGGGACAGGGTCTGGAAGGCAGTGAACGCTGTGCAGTGCTTACTGTCAGAGACCATCGATTGTAGAGTATCTGGGTGGCTATGACAGATGCTCTGGTATAGTAGTGATTATGTGTTGGGTTGCTAACTGCAAGGTCAGCAGTTCAAAACCACTAGCCACTCTGCTGGAGAAAGACTAGGCTTTCTGCTCCTGTAAAGGGTTACAGTCTCTGAAACTCACAGGAGAGAGTTCTGCCTTGTCCTATAAGGTCGCTATGAGTGAGCTTTGACTCAATGGCAGCGAGTATTTGAGTAGTGTCCAGCTTTTGCCAACAACTGTAGCTGTTCTCTTTTTGCTGTGGAAAGGATTAGAATAATTTACACAAAGTGCTTGACATGTGGTGGGCCCGTCTAGTCACTGCTATTTAATGATTGTGCTTTTGTGCTTACATTTGTTAGCTCTCTTACAGTGCTACAGGCATTGCCCTCCAAGACTTCCTTTATGATAACTGTGGGTTTCAAAGGGAATTTTTGAATACAAACAAACAAAGAAGACATTGAACTAGCAATACAGCCTTAATTAAGCTGGGAAGGTTCTAATGCAAAGTGGTGCTTTCCATTAAGTTGGAAGGCAAAGTGACTCACAGAGTAGCCACACTCATGAGAATCAACTAAGTCGCACTCTTGAGAGTCCATTATTAGATAATGCAGAATTGGCTCTATTTCATGTTCATGGTATTGGCGAAGAATATTAAAATTAGCATGCACTGCCAAAAGAACAAACACCTGGAAGAAGTACAGCCATAATGTTCTTAGAAGCAAGAATGGTGAGGCTTTGTCTCACATAATTTGAACATGTTATCAGGAGAGATACAATAAAAATTTAAAACAACTACAACAACAAATAAACAACTGCCATGGAGTCAATGCTGACTCACAGAGACTTCTCTGTGGGCTTCTGAGACTATAACTGTTTATGGGAATAGAAAACCCAGGCTTTCTCCATAGGAACTACTGGCAACTTCAAACTGCTCACTATGCAGATCACAGCCCAACTCATAACCAGTACAACACCAGGACTCCTCATCAAAAGAGATCTATTTCTAGAAAAGGATAGCATGCACGGTAAAGCAGAGGGTCAGCACAAAAGACTCGCAAGGTAAAGGATGCAACAACGAACTCAAACATAGTAATTGTGTAAATGGCAAAGGACCAGGCAGTATTTCATTCTGTTGTGCATAGTCGCTATGAGTCAGACATGACTCAATGGCCTCTAACAACAACAATCCTAGATGCCATGTGTCTATGCGCTTTACTTTGCAAATGAGGAAATGAGTCCAGAGAAGGGAAGGAGTTAAGATAACATGGTCAGTCAATAGCATAGCTAGTACTTTCTTGACTCTACGTTCAGGCCTTTGAAACCTCAGTGCTTCCGTGAAACCATGCAACATTGGGGTATGTAAATACGATCACTGATATTCTATATCAAAACCCTCAAAAGTTTAGTAGAATCCCAAAGAGATACCGTTTGAGGGGAAACCTGAGGAATTCAGTTGAGCAGTTGCTGTTGTTAGTTACTGTCGACTTGGTTCCAACTCGTAGCAACTCTATGCATAACAAAATGAAACAATGCCAAATCTTACACTGTCCTCACAATTGTTGTTAGAAACACTCTGTAAATGCATTTCCTTGATGGTCTTGTTCTTTTTGGGTGATGCTTTACTTTAGCTAGTCTGATGTCCTTTACCAGGGACTGATCTCTCCTAATAAATAACATGTCCAAAATATGTGAGATGGAATCTTGTCATCCTTACTTCTAAGGAGTGCTCTGGCTGTATTTCTTTGCAGGTAAATTTGTTTGTTCTTCTACTGTACTTTCAATAATCTTCTCCAACACCATACTTCAGATGCTCTTATTCCTCTTCAGTCTTCCTTACTGGTTGTCCGACTTTCACGTGCACATGAGGTGATTGAAAATACTATGGCTTAGGTCAGGCACACTTTAGTGGCATCGAAGTGACATCTTTGCTCTTCAACACTTTAAAGAGGTCTTGTGTTGCAGATTTGCATAATGAAAGACATTGTTGATTCTTTGAGTGCTGCTTCTATGAGTCGATCCAAGCAATATAAAATCCTTGACAACTTCCATCTTGTCTCCATTCATCATGATGTTTATTGGTCCAGTTTCAGGGTTTTTGTTTTCTTGACATTGAGTTATGATTCAAGGTTGAAATCCTTATAATTTATCAACAAGTGCTTTAAGTCCTTTTCACTTTCAGGAAGCAAGGTTGTGATATCTGTACATCACAGGTTGTTATTAAGCCTTTCTCCAATCCTGATGTCGAGTTCTCCTTCATATAGTCTAGCTTCTCAGATAATCTGATTAGTATACAAGTTGAATAAGTATAGTGAAAGGATACGATACTGATGCACGTTTTTTTCCCGCATTTGAAACCATGCAGTATTCCCTTCGATTCAAATGACTACCTCTTGGTCTATGTACAGATGAGAAGCAGAAGGTAGAAAAGCATCAACTTTAGTTTCTTTTTTTAATATTTGTACTATCTTGAAATTACCTCTGAGCAACTTAAACTCTGAGCAAGTTAAAGCAACTTTGCTTTTCAGCTTACTATCTTCCCAGGTCATCATCCATTCTGTTGGTGCTGGTTGGCTTGTGCATTTTGGTTTATCCAAAGTGGCGTGGTTTTCTCTGTCCTTTGCTATCACTTTGTTGCTTACAAGTGTCCTATTCATGATGACATTGGATGGGTTTCCTAGAATCACTACAGACTGTACTTCTTAGCTAAATAAATGAAGGGACAAATGCAAGAGGCCTGCCAGTAGGTTCTCTGTGTGTGAGTTTTCTTGGACACAAACACAGGAGGGGAGTTTCTCTGCAGCAGCTGATCTTGCCATTTTGGATTTTGCTGAAGAAGGTAGTTGAACTCTTTAAGGAACTCTGGGTTTTCTCTGTCTCAGGAAACCACTGATAACATCAGAGTCGGAAGGACTTGAATAAAATGGAAAAGAAAATTCCTAAGAGTCAGACCGTGATTCAGATTTCCAATCCCACAAAATTCTTCCTCCAATTCTTGATTCAGCTGCTACTTGCTTCCCAGGAAGCAGAAGACAATAGGCTAGCTGAGTTAATTTAGGTCTACATTTCAGCCAACTAAAGGTGAAGGTAAAGGAAGTACAACCTAGTCACATTTGAAATTGAAGTCCATGCATCTCCATTAGCAGACATACTCTGGGTACATATTTTACCAGACGGTTCTGGTTCTAAAGGCAAACTAGGAAGTCCATTAATTTTAACAATTCTTTTGCACTAAGTTTCTGGCTGGCCTTTTTGACTCAATCACTTCCAGATAAGTTCAAATGTCTTACAGTGAAGAGGAGGATAACATAGTAAGTGCAATAAGTGCAGACCAAGAGGTAGTCATTTGAATAGAAGGGAGTACTGCATGGGTCTATATCATGTTAGGGATTGGAGCATGACCCCCCAAATTATGTGCTGCAAATCTCAACCCCTATACCTGTTGTTATAATCTTATTTGGGAATGGACTTTGTTGTTATGTTAATGAGGCAGTATTAGTGTAGAGTGTACTTTGAATCAATGTTAAGTGCCATCACTTCTTGAGACAGAGAAAATCCAGGTGGTTTACAACTCATAGTGGCCTAATGTACAACAGAAAGAACACTGTCCTGTCCTGTGGTTTTCTGCATTGTTATTATCTTTGAGCCAATCAATGCAGTTATTGTGCCAATCCAATTGTCAATCAAATCCTTCTCAAAG